GGGGGGGCTGGAGGAGGTGACAGGGAGTACCTGTGTAGTTCTGTGTCTGGGTGTGTATATATGTGAGTGTGTGTGTCTGGTTGAGTGTGAATATTGGCTGAGTGAGTGAGAAAGTGTGTGTGAGTATGTGGAGTGGGGACAGTGAGGTTGCAATCAGACAAGGGGAGGGGTGGGGGTGTATATGGATAGGGGACCAGGAACAGACCCCTGAAGCCTGCTCTGGCCTTCCACAAGATCCCATTAATCCACTTCCCATCTCCTCCACCTGGAACCTACCCACCTTCCTGCCTCAGAGAGAGAGAGAGAGAGAGAGAAAAAATACCTTCCAAATCTCTGCTTCTGGAGAGCGACATTCAACACATTCCCCTGTCTCCCAGAACAAACAAACAATCTCTTTCCATCTCTGTCTTTAAGGATCACACACACAATTAATTGGAGATTGCAAGTGGCCCTTCCCAGCAGTTTATAAGCCCCCACGACCTCTCCTTTCCTCCAGATGATGCCCGGCTTCCTGTGTTCCTGCAGCCTCCTGTTTTGCCCCCCACCTTTGGATACCAGTCTCTGCATGGTTTCCCTTGTCCCTAACCAACTTGATTAAACCCACCCATCGCCTTCTCCTTTGGCCCTGTGATCTGTTGAGTGGTGTGATCTGCCTGGTACTACAGCCAAAACAAAACTTTTCACTGTGACAATAATAAATCACACACAAAAAAAAACAGTTTCAAATGCCCTCCCTTCTCACTGCCAGAGACTGTTCACAGCCCTCATGGGTTTAATGCATGCTTTTCTGTTGGAAACACACAAACCTCTCTCTCTTAACTGGTTCAGTCCATTCTCTCCCTCTGTCTCTCTCTCTCTCCTTGATCCTCAGCCAAATGTACATTCTCCCCTTTAACTGGGAAATGAATGGCTTGGTCCTCCTCATCTACATGTAACTCTACGAAGGAGGGGGGGGGGGGCCATGTGGTCTGGGGGATTTTGTCATGCACTAGTTATCGTGAACGGAAACAAGTCTTTCTGGTAATCTGTCTCTTTCTCTCTCTTTCTGTGTGTGTGTGTGTGTGTCTGTCTGTGTCTGTATGCGCCTCTTGCTTTAATCTGAAAACTTGGAAAGGCATAGCTACGTCTGAAAACCTTGCCCCAAAACAATCATGTACTGTACGTCCCCCGGGAGTGAAGTGGGAAATAACGCTCTGATGTACTTTTACAACGGCAAAGCTGTAAGTATATTTGTTTTCCAGTTTGCTTTGTGCTCGTGAATCTTTGTCTGAAGAGAGACAACAATCCTATTATTACTTCTGCCTCCCAGTTCTCACACACGAAAAAGTCGGGGGACAGACCTGTTTGCATAAGAAAGAAGCCTTGGGAGAGTTTCGATATTGTATTGAAAATATTTTTTTTAACTTTTTTTTCAAAAAAAAAACTTCCTGTGCTTTTCTCCAGTTGATCAGCAAAGGCTCTCGGCACATTGAGGCGAGGGGAATGAAGCAAGAAAATGGAACCTCAGTCCCTTTTGGAAATATATCAGTAGTTAGCTCAGAACAAAGGGTATTTTGGAGGGGAGGGGGGGTTGTTTGAGAGGAAGGTTGAGCACATTTAACTGTTTGTTCTCCTCTTCCACCTCAAAAAGTTTTGAATCAAGTTTTTCTCTCTCTCTTGTCCCCCCCCACCTCCAAACTTTTCCCAAATACCAACTACACACAACCCCCCCACCTCCACACACACACACACACAACTCCATTCTGCAAATTTTGTACAAGGGGCGAAGCAGGGGTGTGTGTGTGTGTGTGTGAATCTCTCTGTGTGTGTGTGTGTGTGTG